GATCTTGTCTTGTATCCGTCAGATCTACCGCCGTCCGAGCCACCTGCCGCCTCGCCCTCCACTGGCCTCCGCCCGCCGCCGTGCATCCACCCTGGTTGTCCCTTTAAATCTCTTCAGCTCGTGTTCTTCTCTAATGATGGCAACCCCACCCGTACCTGAACCGTCAACCTCTACCTCCTCTCCACACACGACACCATTGTCGTGTTGTCACAGGCTCCGGGTCGCTCATGTTCGAGGCCTCACTGTAGGGCCACTGTCTTCAGTCTCAGTGCATCTCCTACTCTCTCGAATTGAGTGGCCTAAATTTTAAAAACAGGCAACTTATCAATAGCTATTGCGGTAATCAACAGTCCAGTAATTAGCTAAGATATTTTATGATAACATTTCTTCTCACGACTAAAATACCTTTTTATTCATTACCAATCAAATTTACATCCTTAATAAAGAGAGGTACAATGCTAGGGGGTGGGGAATCTAACCAACCAGTTGAGCACATAGTTTTAGCCATATTTGCCGACTCATGTGCAACGGAATTGGCCTCACGGAAGGTATGTTCAAAGTGGACTTCGGCAAACTCTCAACCCATGAAATGAGAGTCATGAAATTTTTTTGTGGTGCATATAACGGACCATGTAGAAAAACTTTGGATAAAAAATAACTCAATGATATATTTTGGGAGTGTCTATTTTCCAGACATCTGCTTTTTGATTTGGTTTAGGTTGCCTTTTTTGTCCAGTCCAATTTTGACACGTGTCTTGTAAGTATTTTTCAATCCCGGTTCAGCCTGAGAAAAGATGGTTTTCTTTCATTCTTGATTCAGGTCGAATCCCCTCTCCCCTTTTGCAGGGCTCATTCGGTTTGGAGGAAACTAAAACCTAGAAATTATGACTAGTATAGGAATTTAATAGGATGGCACTTGCCATCTTAAGGAATTGATTTGCCTCGTTCCTACGCGTAAAATGAGCTTTGAGTGGATGTCTAGTTTTCTCCAAAAACACAGGAAATGAGTAGTATTCCTACGATATTCCCGTACGCCTTTCCTACAAACCGAATGCATCTATAGAAAAATTTCCTCTGGAATACTTGTTTCTATGTTTTTTCTATGAAAATCCTCCAAACCAAATGAAGCCTCAAAGGATTGTTTTTACACCAGCCAAAGCCTGCCCCTAACGCGCGGCTTGCGAACCCGTTAGCACCCAGCACAGTAACAAAAACAACAAGGAAAAACTTCCCATGAAACTCTGCACCAGTTCCTGCTAAAACAAACTGAAGACCACTGTCAAACTGGTAATAAACTGAATATTCTTAAAGTAAAAGGAGGTTCAAGTTGCTACAAGCCACACAAAAGCAGACACATGAGTAATGATGGATACAAGCCTGGTAACTACAGTAGATGATTTTCTTCTAGGAAACTGAAGAAAGAAATAGTGTAATTTCATCTCCCTCTATTGTTTAACACAATTTTTTTAAGTAAAACAAACTTTTCCTTGAGCCCTTCAAAAATGGAAGTATGTCCAAAAATAAGTGAATTAGGTACCTTCTGCTCCCTTGAAAAGTGTGTCAATGAACTGAACACTAACCAGTGAAAGGCGGATTATCTCCTGCACACAAACACTCAAATGAGAGATATTACAAATTGTCTAAAGAACCAACAATATATAGAAGAGAACAAAACCTCCTCAGATTTGTTGTAGAAGAACACTCAAGCTATAGGGGCAACTAATAGCTAGGCACAGCAGCCTAAAACAGAGAACCAAGAAAATAATAAGAAAAAGAACACTAACAACTTCAACACTGATAATCATTACTAAGGTTGACAGAAAATTATAAAATGCTTCCAGCGGCTTCTAGTCATGTGCAAGCATGCACACACATGCAATGTCTTCAGTTACAAAAACCTAAGAAACGATTAGAAAAACCACCAGAGCTCGTCGAACATCATCTTCAACCTCTCAGAGGACATGAAGAGTGACTAGAAAAACTCATCAATGCCCAAAACTTGTCGAACATCATCTTCAACCTCTCAGAAAACATGAAGGACGAGTATCATTGCCAGCTCGTCATGAGGAGTCAATTGCAAGAAACCACCACATTTGCGGCTAGATTTGCAGGAAACCACCAGCTCGCTAATCCGTTGCAAAAAACACTGGAAAATCTGTTAACTCGTTGCAAAAAGCACTGATCGGATGATTTGGCCCATTTAATCACTTTTTGACAGGTAGGGCCAATTTGTAAGGAGCTGAGTTGGCAAAATAATTACATACACACCTCTGGATCCACAAATAGAAAGCAATCAACCCCCTGCTCTTGATCCCCTTCTCTGGATCCGATCGGGAGGAGGCTACAGCCGCCACCCCTTGCACCCGACCGCGCCGCCCCCACCGGCTCCTGTCGCCGCGGCCGAAAGCCCACCGCCAGCCACGCCTTTTCTCCTCCTCCACGCCATGCGTCGTCCACGATGCCGGCCAGGACCTCCGGTAGAGCTCGCGCCCCTGACCTCCGGCGAGGTATCGTCCCTCTGCCAGCAGGCTTTTTACCGCAGCAGTTCCTCCTCATGCGCGATGAACCGGACGCCCTGAGCCGCCATGCCCTTCTCCTACCTTACGATTGCGTGCGCCGCCAGGATCCGAGTGGCCTCGGCTGCCCGACCTCTGCGGCCAGTCCATGGAGCGGACGTCGTCGCTCCTAGGCAAGGACGAGAAGCAGCACGCCCCGTGAGCTTGTCGTTGACCTCCAGCGAGGGGCGCCATGGGAGGCTGCAGGCAGGGTCACCGGCGCAGGCGGCCATGGTGGTTGGCAAACCGGGTTGTGGTCGTATAGGACGGCGGACGTCTTGAGGCAAGTGGCGGAGGTGGTCGTCCGATGGGGCTGCAAGGGAGGCAAGGGCGGAGGCGCTGCAGGTCGGGCGGGAGGCGACAAACTGCGGCGAGCAGCAACAAGAAGGGGATGAAGAGAGTGCGCGGCATGGAGGAGCTCCCTGGTAGTTGTCCATAGGGGGGGTTGATTGCTTTTTGTTTTGGATTTCATGGGTGTTTGTGTCAATTCTTTGCCAAGTCGGCTTGTTACTATCCTGTCCTACTTGTCAGAAAGTGATTAAATGGGCTAAATCACCCGATCAGTGCTTTTTACAACGACTTAACAAATTTTTCGGTGTTTTTTGCGATGGATTAACAAGTTGATGGTTTCCTGCAAACCTAGCTGCAAATGTGATGGTTTCTTGCAATTGACTCCGTCGTGGGGGATGGTCTTGAATGTAAGTAGTACATCGGTGCTGACTCCAAGCCATGTTCTTGTGAGGAACTTCTTCCATCCTTGCTTGAAGAATATGGGGCTGTCGGGTGAGGTGTCATACTCAGTCCTCTTGAAGCTCTCTTTGCTGGTTCTTTATTGAGCTTGACGACATATGTGTGTCTCTCTGTTGCTTGAAAGCACATACTGTCGGCAGCGCGACATTCATGAAATCCCTCTCATAGCATGGGATGATTTGATAGAAAATAAAAATAAAAAGGATGAAAAAAGACATGGGTGAGAACTACAAAAAACATGGAACTAAATGGGAAAAATGAGGATGCCCATAGATTGCTACCGATGATGTTCTGAATCCCTGTACTAGAAAAACAGCATATGGTTTGCTGGTTGCATACTTATTTGCCCATGAGGTTTTGCACACTGTGCATGCCATCTGTGCACTTTTTTTAAAGTTATATAGTCCTTAAATGACTAATAATAACAGTTAAAACATACACACACAAAACTGAACATGTTAATGCAAAAAAGGACTGAAGTTAAAGTCAAGTGGTAAAGGACAAAAATATCACAAAAAGAAAAATCCAAGTACAAAAATGAAAATTTGCTGCAATATCAGGGCTTATACAATGGTTTGATTCATTTTGAATGGAAAATGTATGATAAAAAATGCAAAGAGAAAGGCAGCATTGAGGATCTGAAGAAATCGAATGAAGAAAACCCGATGGTGTTTCTTCTAGAATAAAAAAATGACGCAGTATAAAAGAATATGCTACTCTCTTCAGCAAGTTTGCACCAATTAATTTTGCTCTCCTCTTCCACATCATAGATTGCCATTTAATCAAGGTCTGGAGTTTCCGTAAAAGAGTATTGCAACACTCATTTTCTTTCCTCAATGGCATCCAGGTAAAAATTTAAGGTACTGAAAACTATCGGGAAAGAAAAATAAAGTCAAAGCAAGAGTAAGATACCGAAGGGGAGTATTAAGAAAACCTGAGGAAAAGAAGCTAGTTTAGCTATCTAGCAGTCTCCAGACCTACATTCATACTTTTAAAAGAATGAACACTAAATACTTGGTACTCCCTCCGTCTCATAATGTAGGACGCTTTTTGACACTATATAGTAATAATTACTGAAAAAGGCAGTTGTCATTCTAAAAAAGTTGTGCAAACTGAGAAACAAATGACTGAACATTAAACTAACAAACAGAGAAAACTGGTCTTTTCTCGATGTTCAATGAATAATGAAGAAGAACGATTTGAGAAACTGAAGATAAAAAGATGTCTGCAAAGGGGAACTGAAGAATACAAATAAATAACTATGACTGATTCCTGAGGAAGAAGTACTGATGGATGACAATAACTGAGAAATGAGAAATGACAAGACTGAGAATTTCAAGAGAGATGAATGAAGAATTATACACTGAATTACTGAAATAGTAAACAAGATGTACTAATTAACGACTGAAAAAACAGAGCCCGTCAGACTTAAGTATTTACTGAATTAATGAAAAAAATGAAAAACGAAACAGAACATCGACGACAACTATGCCAAACAAATGCAGGTACTCCCTCTGTTCACTTTTATAAGGCCTTAAAGACATTTCAGACAATGTGCAAAATAGCCTATTTTCAGTTGTCTAAAATGACTTATAAAAGTGAACGGAGGGAGTAGCACGTAAAAACTAATTTAAAATGAATTTAGTTTTAGGGATAATGATGCATATGCGTGTAGTCATCAGATACCCATCTAATCTAAAGTACAGCATGGGAGATCCTCGTTTCACCTAAGCTATATTTGCGCGACCTGTGCTTGATCATTCGGAGCTCCCCGCTGTCACAGCGCTCCACCTCCACGCCGGTGAGCACGGCGAACCCAATTTCAGGGGGGCAATTGTCATAGTAACAGCGAGCACAGCACGACGCCGGCGGCGGCTTTATCATCTCAAAGAGCTTGGCGACGCAGAACCGGCCACCGTCGCCCAGGTGCACGAGGTACTGCGACCTCACATAACTTCCCCTGGGCAACGTGAAGCCTTCCCACACTCCGCGCGCCTCCATGTTAGATAGATTGGTAGAGATAGAGTCATGTTCAAACTTTTATCCTTTCTTCTGTAACTTCTCCATCTCAATCTCCTATAACTCTCCTGGAACGAATCCTTGCGATCGTCCCTAACTTGTACGCCACGGCTGGCTGTTGCCTCGTTCAATATATACAACGCGGCCACCTACGGGTGGAGATACGCTTCCCATCGATAGTTTACATGGTCATCAGAGCCTCTTCCTCCTAGATTGAAAATCCATCTAGCCCTAGCGAAAGCCATGACCGGAACGACCTCCTCCGCCGTTGCCAGCACCATGAGTGCCCTTACCACCGATTCATCCGCCTCCATCTTCGCCCCATCATCCAGCACTACCTTCGCCCCATCCATTGGATCTCCACCACAAGAGAAGCTAACCAGGAGCAACTTTCTCCTATGGAAGGCCATCGTGTTGCCGCAAATCAAGGGCGCACAGATGCAGCACTTCCTTGATCCGGCGAGCCCCGTGCCGCCGCCCACCATCACCGTCACCAAGGACGGGAAAGAAGAGTAATGCGTCAATATGGCGCGTGTTCTCTGGTATGCGCAGCAACAACAGCTGCAAGGGTACCTCATGGGGTCCCTCTCCCGAGAAATCCTCGCCCAGGTTGTCACCCTCCAGATGCCGGCCGAGGTCTGGGCAGCCATCAACGCCATGTTCGCTGCTCAAACCCAAGCTCAATCGATCAATACTCGAATTGTGCTGCATAACCTGAAGAAGGGTAACTCAAGCATGGCGGACTACCTCGCCAACATCAAGTCCCTCACGGATGAGATCGCCTGCGCTGGACCAGCCCTCTCCGATGGCGAGATCACGTCCCACATCCTCGCCGGCCTCGACCTGGACTACAACCCCGTCGTCTCCCCCCTTGCTGCCCGTGTGGAACCAGTAACGGTCCAAGAGCTCTACAACCAACTCCTCTCCTTCGACGCCCGCATCAATATGCTTCACGGCCTGAACCCGAGACAGTCTTCAGCCTATGCTGCATCTCGCGGGCGCGCAATAGGTGGCCGAGGGCGCGGTCACCAGGGTCGCGGCCGTGCCAACAGCAGCAGTGGCCGCGGGCGCGGCGTGCCCCAGTATGCTCGTCCAAATTCAGGTGCAGGGAGCGGTGGCTATGGCCGGCACGCAGGCGGCGGCGGCTATGGTCATAATACAAGTGGAGGCAGCGCTGGCTATGGTCAGCATGCAGGCAGCGGCGCTTCCTCCTCCAACACTCGTCGATCTCGTTGCCAGCTTTGTAAGAAGCCCGGGCATGAGGTAATGGACTGCTGGCACAGGTTTGATGAAAACTTCGTCCCTGATGAACGTCATGTAGCCGCGGCGATCCGGGAACAGCAAGAAGATGCAGGCGTGGTCTGGTATGTTGATTCCGATGCAACAGATCATGTTACTAGCAAGCTTGAGAAACTTGCTGTTCGTGAGAAGTACTACGATGGCGATCAAATTCACACCGCAAGCGGTGGAGGTATGGATATACATCACATTTGTCAAGCCATTATTAATTCCCCTACTTGCAAACATGATCTTTTCTTAAATGATGTCCTTCATGTTCCCCAAGCCGACAAAAATCTTGCATCTATGTCTCGCCTAACTGCCGATAACAATGTCTTCTTTGAAACTCATCCTAAATATTTTTTCATTAAGGATCGGGTAACGAGGGAGCTCATCCATCACGGTAGATGCATTGGAGGCCTCTACCCCATCACGTCGAGAGCCCTTAGTCCTCTTCATCATCGTCAAGTCTACTCCGTCGTCAAGCCCTCCTTGGCAAGATGGCATCAAAGATTAGGACATCCGTCATCGATCATAGTTAAGCAAGTAGTGAATAAAGGCAATCTTATGCTGTCTCATAGTCAAAATGAAGAGTCTGTTTGTGATGCTTGCCAATGTGCCAAGAGTCATCAACTCCCTTATCCTAAGTCAACTAGTGTGTCTCATGCTCCTTTAGAGCTTATTTTTAGTGATGTATGGGGTCATGCAAGAGATTCTTTTGGAAGAAAGAAATACTATGTTAGTTTTATCGATGATTTTAGTAAATTCACTTGGATATACTTGCTCAAGTTGAAATCTGAAGTTTTCTCTATTTTCCAAGAATTCCAAAAACTTGTTGAGCGACAATTTGATAGAAAAATTCTTGCAGTCCAAAGTGACTGGGGAGGGGAGTATGAGAAACTCAACTCTTTCTTTCGAGATATAGGCATAGAACATCATGTATCATGCCCACATGCTCATCAAGAAAACGGCTCGGCCGAACGTAAGTATCGCCATATTGTAGAAGTTGGTTTTTCCCTTCTTGCTCATGCATCAATGCCCCTTAAATATTGGGATGAAGCTTTCATTGCGGCCACCTATCTCATAAATCGTTTACCTAGTAAAGTGATTGGAAATTCCACTCCTTTAGAACGATTGTTTCATCAAACACCCGACTATAACTCTCTCAAAATATTTGGGTGTGTGTGTTATCCCAATCTACGCCCTTACAATCGCCACAAACTTGAGCTTCGCTCAACTCAGTGTGTCTTCATTGGTTATAGCAATCTCCATAAAGGATACAAATGTCTTGACGTTGCATCCGGACGCATCTATATCTCTCGGGATGTTGTTTCTGATGAAACCCTGTTCCCTTTTGCAAAGCTTCACCCAAATGCGGGCGCTCTTCTTCATGCTAAAATAGCACTTCTCCCTGAATATATGCCTAATCCAAATCACGGGGGTGAATTAAATAATATTGATCATGTGATTCAGTCAGAAAAAGAAACGGGACAAGACAATTTTAATTCTGTTGCTAAGTGTGCAGGCCAACATTTTATGTGTGGAAATACAGACAAAGGAGACAACACCAGATCCGAAGCTGATGTGCCTGTTCCTGCCAGCGCTCGATCCGAGGAAGATCCTGGCGATTGGCATGCAGCAGCACGCACCGCAACACAGGAGGATGCGGTGGCCGACAGGGCGGGGCCCGGCGGCCCAGCCGACGCGAGTCCGCGCGGCTCGCCTCTTGCCACGACCGAGCGGGCTGGGCTGGCGGGGGACAAAGAGACCGAGGCGGGGCCCGCTATCCACTCCCCGAGCCGCACGCCCACGCCCGTCAGTCCCACATGGCGCGCGCCCAGTGGCGAAGGGATCGCGAGGAGGATGCCGCCCTCGGGTCAGGAGACGTCAGAGGCGGGATCTTCTGCGAATGATACTTCAGCTGCTGATCCTGTCACACCCAGATCTCCTGTAGTGGTAACAGCAGCTCCTCACATTTCAGAAATTCCCAAACGGACTACCAGATCAAAAACTGGTGTCTTCCAACCAAAAAAGTACACAGATGGTACGATAAGGTATGATAAGATTAAACGTGCTTTTCTTACCAGTACAGGTGAACCAACTCATTTGAATGATGCTCTTGCTCATGAGGAATGGAAAAATGCCATGGATAGTGAATATCATGCACTCATGAAAAATAAAACTTGGCATTTAGTCCCACCAGGAAGGAGTAAAAATGTCATTGACTGCAAATGGGTTTACAAGATCAAAAGAAAGTCGGATGGAAGTCTAGACAGGTACAAGGCTAGATTGGTTGCAAAAGGTTTTAAACAAAGGTTTGGAATTGATTATGATGACACTTTTAGTCTAGTTGTCAAATCAGCTACCATCAGACTTGTACTATCAATTGCAGTTTCTAGAGGTTGGAGTTTGCGACAGCTAGATGTTCAGAACGCGTTTCTTCATGGTGTTCTGGAGGAAGAAGTGTTCATGCGGCAGCCACCAGGTTATGAAAACAGAAGCACACCAGATTATGTTTGTAAATTGGATAAAGCTATTTATGGATTAAAGCAGGCACCAAGGGCATGGTATTCAAAATTGAGCACTCAGTTACAACAACTTGGGTTTACGCCATCTAAGGCAGATATCTCACTGTTTATCTACAATAAAGGCAATGTCACCATATTTGTTCTTGTCTATGTTGATGATATTATTGTGGCCAACTCTAGTCCAGATGCTACTACCTGTTTGCTTAAGGATTTGAAGCTGGAATTTGCTTTAAAGGACTTGGGAGATCTGCATTACTTCCTTGGCATAGAGGTCAAACAGGTAAACGGTGGTATACTTCTTACACAGGAAAAATATACCACTGATATACTCAGGAGAGTAGGGCTGGAACATTGCAAACCAGTAAGTACACCAATCTCAACTTCAGAAAAACTTACAATTGAGAGTGATGAAGTACTGGGACCAGAGGATGCAACAAATTATAGAAGTGTTGTAGGTGCACTGCAATATCTTACTCTTACTCGTCCTGATATTTCATATTCTATGAATAAGGTATGTCAATATCTACATGCCCCTAGTTCAGCACACTGGACTACAGTTAAAAGAATTTTGAGGTATCTAAAGTTTACAGAAGGGCTTGGACTTCAGATTGTCAAGTCTCCATCTATGCTTGTCAGTGCTTATTCTGACGCAGACTGGGCAGGGTGTGTTGATGATAGGAGATCTACAAGTGGCTTTGCTGTGTTCCTGGGGGAGTGCAAGGAAACAGGCTACGGTCTCTAGGTCAAGTACTGAGGCTGGGTATAAAGCTCTGGCAAATGCTACTGCTGAAATAATGTGGATACAAACATTGCTCTATGAACTTGGAATTAAAGCTCCACAAGCTGCAAGGTTGTGGTGTGATAATATTGGTGCTACTTACCTCTCAGCTAATCATGTGTTTCATGCACGTACCAAGCACATTGAAGTGGACTTTCATTTTGTCAGAGAAAGAGTAGCTCGCAAATTGCTTGATATCAAGTTCATTCCAACAGGGGATCAGCTAGCTGATGGATTTACAAAACCTCTCACCATGCGAAGGTTAGATGACTTCAAGTACAATCTTAACCTAGGTAAAGTTTCATAGGATTTAGATTGAGGGAGAGTGTTAGATAGATTGGAACAGATAGAGTCATGTTCAAACTTCTATCCTTTCTTCTGTAACTTCTCCATCTCAATCTCCTGTAACTCTCCTAGAACGAATCCTTGCGATTGTCCCTAACTTGTACGTCACGGCTGGCTGTTGCCTCGTTCAATATATACAACGCGGCCACCTACGGGTGGAGATACGCTTCCCATCGATAGTTTACACTCCATCGGCGCTGCGCCGGCGCCGGCAGATTTCAGGTCCCACGCGCAGAGGAGTCCTCTGTCCCAGCCGAACCAGAGGCCGAGCTCCGGAGCGTACTCGGCGCGTCCCATGAACGGCAGCGGTGAGTCGCTGGCCTTGCTCCACACGCCGGTCGCCGTGTCCATGGAGTAGGTCCCGTGACCACGCGTGGACGCCCAGATGTGCGACCTGTCCACCACCGCGTAGGCTCCCGCGGCGCCTCCCTCGACGGGAGGCGGCGGAAAGGAATGCCAATGCCAGCCACCGTCTCCGGCGGGATCACGAATAAACGCATGGACGTACCTGTCCTTGTCGTTCGGCGCAAACCGTGTGGAGTGTATGAAGTACAGGTCGTCGCCGACCGCGACAGGCGCGACCTCGCCGTGGGGCAATGTGGCTGTGATGTCGGGCAGCGCGCGGAAGGAGTGCGGCGCATCGTCGTAGAGTACGGCGCTGCCCTGAGTCGTGACCCGGTAATATTTTGTGTCATCGAAATGGGCGCGGTGCAGGGCGACGATCTTGTCCTTGCTCCGGCCGATGAGCGCGAAGTCCGTCTCCACCACGTTGTCCACGTCGGGAGAGGAGAAGGTCATGGAGGGGGGAGGCAGGCGAGCCTTCACTGCATCGGCCGCAGCCACCTCCGTCTTAGCCCTCGTATTCGCCTCTGCCGCCTCCATCGTCATCGCCCTTGCAGCCGGCGCTGCCGCCGCCGCCGCCCGCTCCGGCGAACCCTTGGGGTAGAACAGGCGCGAGGGGTTGATGCGGTGGAGCGTGTGTGAGACGGGAGAAGCGCACAAGTTCTCGACCGCCATGTACAGAAACCGCCGGCTCATCGTCTCCGGCAAAAACCTCTCCTCGATCCTCGCTGCAGATCAGGGCCGTATCTAGAAAATCAAAGGCCCGGAGCGAATCAAAATTTAGGAATTTAGGCCCTGACATTGGAAAGGGCGGATTAAAATGTATAATGTGTTCTCATTGCAGCAATATAATGTTCATATAGAATTACACCACCGGATGCACAGGTTCAAGAAAGAATTACACCATTGGATGTACTAGTCTACTTATAAACTAATAAAAGGATAGGGTGCCGAGAACTGCCACAGCCTTACCAGGACTCTGTAGGTTTTGATCATAGGAGACTGCAAATGAAGCTCGGATGGTTCATTGTAGGTCAGCCACAAAGCAGTGCAAGGGGCAACTCCAATCGCTACAGGGCCCCAAAAATGATGTACAAGAGCATATGAGAATTGAGAGGAAAGCTCCCCAATATATAGAAGATTGGAGTACATGACCACGCCAGTTTGCTGCCACTAATGCCTTCCTTTTGGGAAATCGTGAAGCATTAGTCCCGAGGAGAATTGGAAAAGAATCAAGATGGGGAGGAAACGATGGGTCCATGAGTTAATTTGGGGCCTGTGAAATTGATTTTTTGGAATAGCTGCAACACATTTGGAGAGAGAGAGAGAGAGGTGATGGATTGGAGGGAGAAGCAGCTGCCTTGGGGTCCGACATTTCCATCATTTTTTACTCCAATTAATGCTCTGTTTAACACCTTAATTACCTGCAGCCGGGGGCCCACCAATTTTTGGGGCCCTGTTCAACCGCTCCGGTTGCACCTGCTGACATACGGCCCTGCTGCAGATCAGAAAATTGGTCGCCGATGATTTCTATTTTTTTTAGGTATTCGCCGACGATTTCTATTGAAGTAACCATCTAGGGACGATGGCCCATGGGCCGAACGAGAGCTACCGGGGGTTTTGCAGAATGCATGGCACAAGTGTGTGCGCGTCTTTACTAAAAAAAAGTGTGTGCGCGTCTTTACTAAAAAAAGGTGTGCGCGTCTAAACCTAAAAAAAAAGAGCGTGTGAGCATCTTGGCCTAAAAAACAAGTGTTTGGGCATTAGATCATCTTTAAAAAACCTCAAAAAATAAGATCATGTTCAAAATTTCCCCTAAAAAGTGATCATGTTAAAATCGGTAAATACAAGGTCCACGTTCCTATTTGGCAGAAGACAAATTGTGAAAATGAAAAGTAACTGTGCAACACTGCAACTTCGGCTATAACATAATAATGACCAAACAAAAATGAAATATGAAAATCCCCAAAAACGAAGTACGAAAAGAAACTATTTCCTTTATATTTACACATACAAATTCAAATCCCTATTTATTTTAACGTTTTTGTCTACCCTGAATATTGTTTTTTTTGCGGGGAAACCCTGAATATTGTTGATGTGCAAGGGCAAAAACTTGTAGCCGTGCACCTCTCTTTTCCAAAATAATTTCTATATATAGAAAAAAGTATATTACACACCCTAAATCTCGAGGTGGATGGGAACACATTTCAGGTTTGCGACGTTGACCAAACCCCTACCACACACACCCTCAACGAGTAGTTGCATTGCATCACTGTCGAGTCGGAACACCGCTATTACTGCCCTGCCTACCAGAGCAAGATGTGACGGCCCACCTCCACATAAGTGTGCAAGACATGAGGAAGATGACTGTATGGTGTAGGATTTTCCCGATGGTGATGGAGGAGGCTATAAGAAGGAGCTCAGTTGGTGGCGGCTACGGTTCGCCACCCGAATCGCCTTCTCTTTTTGTTGTTTGCCCAATTTCACAATTTCCCTATTAATTGTGTAATTATAGATAAAAAAGTTAAGCATGGTACATTCCATGATATCTCCAGAGTGCATATGAAACTCAAAACCCAAGAACTCGCCGAGTTTAAAGTTTGAATTCTGAAAAAAAACATAAATGATAAAGAAGCGCAATGTCTGTTCTGCACCAAATTCTACAATGATACATGCATGCTATGGCATGACAGCATGTG